ACAAGTGCTCCTGGCTGCAGAGGCCCAAGTGGTTGCTGTCAAAATGGGTAACTTCACGAAACCTGGGAAAGTGGTGCTGGTCCTGGCCGGATGTCACTCGGGACGCAAAGCCATTGTTGTGAAGAACACTGATGATGGCACCGCCAACCACCAATGCAGTCATGCACTGGTGGCTGGAACAGGCCACTATCCCCATGAAATGACAGAAGCCATGGGCAAGAAAAAAGCTGCCAAGAGGTCAAAGATCAAGTCTTTTGTGAAAGTTTACAACTAGAGTCACTTCATGGCCACCAGCTACTCTGTGGATATTCCCTTGGACAAAACTGTGGTCAACAAGCATGTCTGCAGGGACCCTGCTCTTAAATGCAAGGCCTGACAAGAGGCTAAGGTCAAGTTCGACAAGCAAGAACAAGTGGTTCTTCCAGAAGCTGCGGTTTTAGATATTTTTTTGTTCCAGTTATTAAAAACTTAAGAAAAAAAAAAAAACTCCAGGTGGGTGGGGATCATAGACTAGTTTATTTCATACAAGTTCTCTGATTACAATTCTTGTTTATTTTGTTTGACCAATAGTAAGTCAGTTGCCTTCCATATCATTTAAATTTATTAGTGTAGAAGTTTATTTTCTTAATTGTTACCTGGTATTTTTTATTTGAAAGACTGAGACAGAGGGCCAGCACTGTGGTATAGTGGACTATGCCTCTACCTGTGGTGCCAACATTCCATGTGGTTGCCAGTTCAAGTCCCAGCTGCTCCACTTCTGATCTAGCTCCCTACTGATGGCCTGGGAAAGCCACAGAAGATGGTTCAAGTACTTGAGCCCCTGTACCCATGTGGGAGAACTAGAAGAAGTTCCCTGACTCCTGGCTTCAAATTGGCCCAGCTCCGGCTGCTGCAGCCACTTGGGGAGTGAACCAGCGGATGGAAGATCTCTCTGTCTCTCCCTTCCCCTGTCTGTAACCACCTCTCAAAAAAAAAAAGAGAGAGAGAGAGAGAGAGAGAGAGAGAGAGAGAGAAAGAGTCAGACCAAGAGATCTTCCATCCATTGGCTTATTCCCCATATGGCTGCAATGGCCAAAGTCAAGAGCCTGGAACTTTATCCAGGTCTTCCGCATGAGTGGCAGAGGTCCAAGTACTTGGGCCATCTGCTGCTGCTTTCCTAGGCACATTAGCAGGGAGCTGGATTGAAGGGGAACAACTGGGACTCAAATCAGCAGGCATATGGGATGCCAGCATCAGAAGATGCTGCCTAACCTACATACCACATGGCCAGCCTGCAAATCCATCAATCTTTCTTCTTTCCTTTCAATTCCTTCCCTTCTGCCCACTTCCCTCCCTCTCCCTCTCTCTCTCTTTCAAGCCAGAGAAACCTTCCATTTGCTTGTTCACTCCCTAAATACCCACAACAGCCAGAGTTGGACCTGGCAGAAGCCAGGATACTGGAGATCAATCTGGGTCTCCTACCTGGATGGCAGGGATCTACATTCTCGAGCCCTCAACTGCTGCCTCCCACGGTGTGCATTAGCAGGAAACTTGATTGGAAGCAGAGGAGCTGAGACTCCAACAGGGCACTGTGTTATGGGACCTGGGCATCCCAGTGGCATCCCAACCTCTGTGCCAAATGTCTGCTCCTCTGATCTTAATCACACCACAATACTTGTTAACGTATGAAATCTGAATGCTCTCAGTGACATGACATACATACTTAATTCAACTCTTGGGTCAAAGTCGTTGTTAAATTCACTTTTAAATACAGGGCTCCAAGTGGCTAGTACAGCTGTGCCTCACAGTCCCTTCTTCAACAGTTTGTGCTAATTTCCCTTATAATATTTATTGCATAATGATTAATAAGCCATCAATTTCCCATTAGACTGGGGGATCTCTTTGAGAGTAAGGACTTTGCCTTGAGTATACACAGGTATCAAATTATTTCCTAAAATAATGAACAGGGCTGAGGTTGTGGCACAGTGTATTAAGACACCACTTGCAATGCTGGCATCCCAAATCAAGTGCCAGTTCAAGTGCTGGCTGTTCTGCTTCTAATCTGGTTTTCTGCTAATGTGTCTGGGAAGGTAGTAGAAAATGACCAAGGGCTTAGGGCCCTGCCACCTACATGGGAGACCAGGACAGGGTTCCTGCTTCCCAACTTTAGCCTAGCGCAGACCTGGCTGTTGCAGCCATTTGAGGACTAAACCAGATGATGGATGATATAAATATTTCTCTATGTCCTTTGAATCAATCTTTATGAATTAAAATAGAGCAATCAATAATATTTCCATCCAAATGGTAGGTATTTGTCCACAATTACTGAAATTACTATTGGAAAGTAAAACAAGAGAGAAAGAGAAAGAGAAAGAGAAAGAGAAAGAGAAAGAGAAAGAGAGAAAGAGCAAGAGAAAAAGAGAGAGAGAGAGAGAGAGAGAGAGATGAGAATCTTCCACCCACTGGTTCACTCCTTAAATGGTTGCAACAAGGCCGGAGCCGTGGCTCAATAGGCTAATCCTCCACCTTGTGGCGCCGGCACACCGGGTTCTAGTCCCGGTTAGGGTGCCGCATTCTGTCCCGGTTGCCCCTCTTCCAGGCCAGCTCTCTGCTGTGGCCAGGGAGTGCAGTGGAGGATGGCCCAGGTGCTTGGGCCCTGCACCCCATGGGAGACCAGGAGAAGCACCTGGCTCCTGCCATCAGATCAGCGCAGTGCGCCGGTCGCAGCACACCGGGGGCGGCGGCCATTTGAGGGTGAACAACAGCAAAAAGGAAGACCTTTCTGTCTGTCTGTCTCTCTCTCTCACTGTCCACTCTGCCTGTAAAAAAAAAAAAAAAAGGTTGCAACAGGCACTCCATTCTGATCTCCCACTTAGGTGGTAGGAACCCATGTATTGGGTCATCCTCTGATACTTTCCCAGGTGCATTAGCAGGAGTTAGATCAGATGCAGAGCAGTCAGGACCCAAACTGGCACAGATATGGGATGCTGGCATCCACAACACCAGCCCCTAAATGATCTTTTTAAATTTTAGCTCTGGGCGTGTTATTCTAAAAAGTCAGTGCTCCTGAACACAAGCTGATATGAAATGAAAACTCGGGCATCTATTTACTTCAGTCTTTAGATTGACCTTCTAGTAAATATTTAGCTTCACTAATTTTGCTGTTAAATAAGCAAATCCCTTGCATGACTTATGAGTACCTATTATTGTTCCTTTTTATCAGCAGTGTAGGGTTTATACCTAGAATTAAATATTGCTTCCAATTTTGTCCTTTTGAGTTCAAGCCCACCTCTACTGTAATAGCAACCAGTGAAGACAGCAGACCATTAAAAACTTGCTTTATGTAAGGTTCTGTTTGCTTCATGCCTTGCACAACAGCCAGTCTACAGCAGCAGTGGTCAGTCCAACTGCTGTCACTGTACCGGCCATGGCTTGGAGAAGGAGCACAGTTCATCCCAGCACAGAGGCCAACTAACTACACATCTTTATCAGAAAGCCACTCAGCCACTGACAGCAAGCACGAACTGCCCATGCACAGGGAACTTTTGTGAGAAAATTCTATCGGGGGCCAGCACCATGGCTCACTTGGTTAATCCTCCACCTGCGGTGCCGGCATCCCATATGGGCACCAGGTTCTAGTCCCGGTTGCTCCTCTTCCAGTCCAGCTCTCTGCTGTGACCCGGGAGGGCAGTGGAGGATGGCCCAAGTGCTTGGGCCCCTGCACCCACATAGGAGACCAGGAAGAAGCACCTGGCTCCTGGGTTCGAATTGGCACAGCACGCCGGCCGTGATGGCCATTTGGAGAGTGAACCAACGGAGGGAAGACCTTTCTCTCTGTCTCTCTCTCACTGTCTATATAACGCTACCCGCCAAATAAATATAAAAAAATAAAAAATACAAAAAAAGAAAAAAAAAGAAAATTCTATCAACCAAAGGAACACAGAGGACTACATCAAATCCATTTAATCACAAACTCAGAGTTGCTATTACACAGACAAGACATATCTGCAACAGCCCATCCTCGGGGCACTGGAGACAGCCTGGTGCTGCACTAAACTCCACGCCTCCTGGAACTGCAGGAAAACCGCGCTTCCCCTGTATGGTAGCGAGTCCTGCTTTCCTGACTCCTAAGACTCCTCCCTGGGATTAAGAAAAGATATGCATCCATCATTTGTGAGGCTTCTTCCTTCTAGAGAAATATATTCCCAAGTAATAGGAGTGGAAAGAAACATTAGCGAAGGAACACACTTCTGTATAGGGGCTAGGTCTACCACATGCACTGCAAGCTGTGACCCATCACCTCCAGGGCTAGCTCAAAGAGCTTAAGCATAAGGAGAGATTGTCTTTCACAACCGAAACCTCTTTTCTCCCCAAAGCCTGCCAGTGGAATTACTAGATAAAGTTCTTAAATGAGATAGCTCAAAAAAATCTTCTAAAATCGGAAACAAGAGAAAACTTCTACTTGAAAGACACAATGGTGGTGGCACAGCAGGTAGAGCTGCCGCCTGCAGTGCTGGAATCCCATGTGGGCACTGGTTCGAGTTCCAACTGTTCTACTTCTGGTCCAGCTCTCTGCTGTGGCCTGGGAAAGCAGAAGATGCCCAAGTGCCTGGGCCCCTGCACCCACGTGGGAGACCTGGAGGAAGCTCCTGGCTCCTGGCTCCAGCCTGGCTTAGCCCCAGCGGTTGCGGCCATCTGGGGAGGGAACCAGTGAACGGGAAGATCTGTCTCCCTCCCTCTCTTCCTCCCTCCCCTTCTCTCTCCCTCTCTGTAAATCTTTCAAATGAAAAATAAATCTTAAAAAAAAAAAAAAAGACACCATAGCACGTGACCTGGTGTAGAGAAGGCTCTGTGGCGCTTCTTGGCTAACAACTGTACCTGTGTGCCCATGGCATGGGCCACACTGAGAAGCAGCTTGAAAGTAAAGCCCTTCCTGCGTTCAGTTCCTGAAGGCAGCACACAGTGCAGGGACAGCATTTTATAATTCAGCTGTTGGCAAACTCAGATGCAAGCAGCTTTGCTGTCCTATAGTAGCCCAGCTCCTGATATCTTAATAATCTTTCCCTCCCATCTATATCTGGGGCACTGCAGAAGGTCCGGACACCTTGGTAACCTCTCCCTCCAGTCCGTCTACCTGGGGCACTGCAGAAGGTCCTGACGCCTTGGTAACCTCTCCCTCCAGTCCGTCTACCTGGGGCACTGCAGAAGGTCCGGACACCTTGGTAACCTCTCCCTCCAGTCCGTCTACCTGGGGCACTGCAGAAGGTCCTGACACCTTGGTAACCTCTCCCTCCAGTCCGTCTACCTGGGGCACTGCAGAAGGTCCGGACACCTTGGTAACCTCTCCCTCCAGTACGTCTACCTGGGGCACTGCAGAAGGTCCTGACGCCTTGGTAACCTCTCCCTCCAGTCCGTCTACCTGGGGCACTGCAGAAGGTCCGGACACCTTGGTAACTTCTCCCTCCAGTCCGTCTACCTGGGGCACTGCAGAAGGTCCTGACGCCTTGGTAACCTCTCCCTCCAGTCCGTCCACCTGGGGCACTGCAGAAGGTCCGGACACCTTGGTAACCTCTCCCTCCCCTCCATATACACCCCATGCACCACTGAACACCAGCGCTTCACTTACTGCAGCTCCTGGGAGCAGGTTTCTCTCACACACTCTCTCACCATGAGTTCTGCCAGCTCTGCGGCCAGGCCTTGGCTCAGCTGAGTCAACACCAGCTCTCTCTCTTGTTTCAACCTTCAGGAAAGAGAAAAATGCACAGGCTGGTGTTTACAAACAAAAATAAGCAATGTGCTTCTCACCACTGGACTGTGCAGATGGGAAGTTGCGTTTTACTGCCGAGCTGACAAGTGACCCCACTCCCCTCCTCTGCTCATGCTGACCGGGAAGGCGGTGTGGCCTGGGGACTCAAACTCACTCGCCAGACCCAAGTGTACAAGGCTGCCAGAGGCGAGCAGGGGTCTGATGGTAGCGCAGTGGACAACGACAGGGCCGTCAAGAGCCAGGGCAGATCCTCTTCACACAGTCTGACCTCCGTGTCCACTGCAGGACAAGACATGCGCACCTTTCCTCTTGAGCGCGCCGCTCTTCCTGCGCCCTGCGCTCCCTCTCCTCAGTCACCTCTTCCGCTGCAACGCTCCTCAAAAGGCCCAAGGTCGCGGCTGTTACCAGGTCTTCCACAGCTGCATTAGCAACACTAGCGAGCACAGCAGGTACAGTATTAACAAGAAAAAACATCTGGTTGGCATGTAACATAAAAATTACATTCACTGTTAAAAACATAGAATCTAAGAAAAATGACTCACAAACCGAAAATCTAAATACAGTCTATAACTGTAATTAGTAAGGAGACTGACTCAATTACCAAAAACTTCCAATGGAGAAAAGCACAGGACCAGAAGGCCTCCTGATACATTCTACCAAACACACTTAAAGAACAAACTCCAGCCCTCAAGGTTTTCCAAAAGAAATTGGAGGGGGAAACATTTCCTAACTCATTCTGAGAGGTCAGCATTGTCTGATCCAAAGCCCAAGGACGGGCAATACAAGGAAACTACTAGACCAACAGTTCCTAGGACTATTAATGCTAACGTCCTCAACAAAACATTTGCTAACTGAACTCAACAGCTACCAAATGGGATTTATTTCTGGGATATAAAAATAGGTCAATGCATATGAAAACCAGTATAATGTAACTATGTTACTAGAACAAAGAAAAAATACATGATCACCTCAGTTGACACAGAAAGAGCACCAGCAGGGCTGGCGTCGCGGTGTAATATCCCATATGGGCAAAGAGCATGCAGTGGGGGGCTGGCATCGTGGCGTAATATCCCATATGGGCACCAGCTCAAGTCCCAGCTGCTCTGCTTCTGATCCAACTCCCCGTTAATGTGACTGGGAAGTAGGGGAGGATAGCCCAAGTGCTTGGGCCCCTGCACCCATGTGGGAGAACATGAAGAAGCTCCAGGCTCCTGGCTTTGGCCTAGTCCAGCCCCAGTCCCAGTCCCAGCCCCAGCCATTGAGGCCATTTGGGGATGAATCAGTGGATGGAAGATCTCTCTCTCTCTCTCTCTCTGCTTCTGCCCTCCCTGTCACTCTGCCTTTCAAATAAATAAATCTTAAAAAAAAAAAAAAAAAGGAATTGAGAGCAGGGACTCAAATAGCTTTCTGCACACCAATGTTCATAGTAGCATTTTTTTTACAGAAGTCAAAAAAAATGGAAACGACGTGTGTCTATCAACAGACAAATGGATAAATAAAATGTGGTGTGTAGGGTTTTTTTTTTTTTTTTTAATTTTGTTTTATTGAGATTCAGAGAGCTCCCATCTGTTGGTTCACTCCATAAACACCTGCAACAACTGGGCTGAGCCAGGTGAAAGCTAGAAGCCAGGAACTCAATCTAGGTCTCCCCTGTGGGTGGCAGGAACAGTTAATTGAGCCATCATCACTTGCTGTCTCCCAGGGCATACGTTAGTAGGAAGCAGGATTCGGGAGCTGGAGCCAGAAATTGAAGCCAGGAACTCTGAAACAGTATAAAGGCCAAGTGCCCATTGTGGAATGAAATTTTGATATACATCATAACATAGATGAATCTTACAGACATCTTAAGTAAAATAAGCCAGACACAAAAGGACAAACACTATTTCATTCTATTTATAAGAGCTACTTAAAATGGGCAAATTTATATGTATAGAAACAGGAAGGCCCAGCGCTGTGGCATAGGTTAGGCCTCCATCACCAGTGCTAGCATCCCATATCAGCACCGGTTTGAGTCCCAGCTGCTCTACTTCCAATCCAGCTCTCTGCTAATGTGCCTGGGAAAGCAGCAGAAGATGGCCCAGGTGTTTGGGCCCTGCACCCTCATAGAAGACCTGGAAGAAAATCCTGGCTCCTGGCTTTGGCCTGGTCCAGCTCTGGCCGTTACAGCCACCTGGGGAGTAAATCAGTGTATAGAAGGTATTTCTCTCACTCTCTTTTTCTCTCTGTTATTTAACAAGAAAAAGAAACAAAACAGTAGAATAGAGGTAACTGGGGCTGCTGAAAGGGGGAAATAGAGAATTATTGTTTAACGGGTATAAATTTTCTATTTGGAATAGTAGAAAAGTTCTGGAAACGGACAGTGGTGACAAATGCATAACATGAGTGTTATTTAATGCCACTGAGTGGAAAACCTAAAAATGGTTAAAATGGTAGATTTTGCTAAGTATATTTTATTAAGGTAAAAAGAAAAAATTAAGCCAATGCAAATATAGATTTTTACTCCCATAAAATAGAAAGTATATGTCTGGGCCGGCGCTGCGGCTCACTAGGCTAATCCTCCGCCTTGCAGCGCCGGCATACCAGGTTCTAGTCCCAGTCGGGGCGCCAGATTCTGTCCAGGTTGCCCCTCTTCCAGGCCAGCTCTCTGCTGTGGCCAGGGAGTGCAGTGGAGGATGGCCCAAGTACTTGGGCCCTGCACCCCATGGGAGACCAGGATAAGTACCTGGCTCTTGCCATCGGATCAGCGCAGTGCGCTGGCCGCAGCGCGCCGGCCATTGGAGGGTGAACCAACGGCAAAGGAAGACCTTTCTCTCTGTCTCTCTCACTGTCCACTCTGCCTGTCGAAAAAAAAAAAAAAAAAAAAAAAAAAAAGAAAAGAAAGTATATGTCTGGACAGGCATTTGGCTTACATCCTGATCAGAGAACCCATGTTTGCGTCCCAGTTCCACTCAACCCCAGCTTCCTGCTAATAAGCTCGCTGGGAGGCAGCAGTGATGCATCAGTCGCAGCTGGGTGCCACTTCAGTCGCAGCTGCTCTACTTCTGACCCAGCTCCCTTGGGAATGTGTGCCTGGGAGAGCACCAGAGGATGGCCCAGGTGCTTGGGTCCCTGAGTCCATGTGGGAGACCCAAAAAAATCTCCTGGCTCCTGGGTTCAGCGTGGCTCAACCTTGACCTTTGCAGCCATCTGGGGAGTGAACCAGTGGATGGAAGACCTCTCTCTCTCTTTTCCTCTGTCTCTCTCTCTTTGTCTGTAACTCTGACAGAGAGTTTATAAATTGAATAATAAATTTATTATTCAAATAAATAAATAAATTTTTAAAAAGACTAGGAGGGGCTGACACTAGGCACAGAGGGTTAAAGCCCCGGTCTAAAGCGCTGGCATCCCATATGGGCATTGGTTCTCGTCCTGGCTGCTCCACTTCTGATCCAGCTCTCTGCTATGGCCTGAGAAAGCAGAAGATGGCCCAAGTGCTTGGGCCCCTGCACCCATGTGGGTGACCCGGAAGAAGCTCTTGGCACCCGGCTTCGGGTCGGTGCAGCTCTGGCTGTTGCAGCCACCTGGGGAGTGAACCAGCAGATGGAAGACCTCTGTCTCTGTCTCTACCTCTCTGTAACTCTTTCAAATAAATAAGTCTTAAAAAAAAGACTAGAAAGTAAAAATGGGTTTCTTTCTCTGTAACTGACATTCAAATAAATAAATCGTTAAAAAAGACAAAAAATGGGTATTTAAATTTATAAAAGGGAATGAACTAATTTCTAGCAGCTTTTAAAACTGCATTTAAAGAAAAATGGGTTTTCAATGTATAAACTTTAATAAACAAAATGTTAAAATGTTGCCTACAGAGAATATACAAATGGTAATTACATGTCAGTGCAAAACAGGTCGATGAAGTCTGAGGAAAGCGTCCAAAACTGGGCTGGTGCTGCGGCACAGCAGGTGAAGCCACCTCTTCTGCAAATGCAGACATCCCACACTGGAGTGCCAGCTGCTCTGCCTCCGTGCCAGCTCCCTGCTAGTGTTCCTGGGAAGGCACCAGAAGACCCAGATGGAGCTCCTGGCTCACGACGTCAGCGCTAGCTGTTGCAGCTAGTTGGGGAAGGAACCCGTAAATGGAAGATTCTCTCTCTCTCTCTCTCTCTCTAGCTCTCTCAGATGTCCTGCCTTTCAAATAAATGAATCTTTAAACAAATTAATAAAACAATCCCTGGAACTGGTTCGCTGAGTTTTGAGCTGTACTAATGAGGCAGTTGTGATCCCGTGCTGAAGAGTAAGAGGAAACATCCGGAGGGCTCGCCCACGTTGCCAGTGAGTGGAGGCAGAGCACTGCTGCTACTTACCCTAGAGCTGCGGCTGCATAGGCCGCCCCAGCAGCACCAACTTCCTCAAAGTCCCGCTGCAGCGTCTCTTGGATGAGCTCGTCCACCACCTGTGCCAGGTCCTACAGACAGACCAGCATGGAGCACGTTACCCAGGGCAGACATCTTGAGGAAGGCCTAGCCACTGGGCACTGGTGACGCTGTCTGATGACACACGTGAGTCTGCGCTGCTGCTTCAGGGACGTGTCTTCTAGAGGGGCAGGGCCAAGGCTGTTGCCAGGGGGACATGTGTCCCACACGGGGCACCACCAGTGCCCCTGCATGGCCTCCTTTTGTCTATATCAAGTATCTTCAACCTCTATGGCAACATATCAGACCCTCCTTTAGGGCTCCCTGACCCCCCAGCGGGGTGAGTGCCCAGCACCAGCACCCAGAGAACACAAGAGTCCCACGGCCATTCAGTGGACATCCCTTACCCCAAGCCCACCCTTGT